GAAAATATCAAATCTTAACGTCAGAACGACGTTGTCTACGACGTTGTTTTGATGTCACGTCCAAACGTTACACCTTAACGTTGCTACAACGTTGAAATCTAACATTGCTAAGAAGGTGTCGCATGACATCCTGGAACGTTAAATTTCAACGTTAAACCAACGTTTACACCACGTGCTCTTATTCCGGATAGAAAAGTAATGTTGTGTGAACGTCGTGTGAAAGTTAAGTTAGATCTAACTTTGCAACAACCTTTTACCAACGTTGTAATAACGTTATGTGCTAGCTGGGCTAACGTCTGCTCACATTCGCTACACACTTGGCTTCCCGGCAATTAACCAATCACTACACGATAATTGGAAGATCGACCTTCAATGACCTTCACATGCATGGGCTATTTATATCAACAAGTCTGTAGTATTTTTAAATTTGAAAGTTTTACAGTAATATTGCGCATCAGAAAAAGGCTTTTCATTCTATTATAAACGAAAAGAAGGATGTTTTCGTAAATCTCACAACTGGCGCAGGAAATCACTTATTTATCACGCCGTTACCGCAAAGCACAAATAGTAACCAATTCTGCTAGCCATATAATTATACAAAATAGTTTTCTTCTTCCAATGCCTTCGCTTCTTCGTCGCTCTCGATTCAAGTAATCAAGTCATTCAACTTAATATTACGAAAGTCAACGAACTGTGGAATTGCATCAAAAATTCGTATATCGACCACTCCCACAAACGTCTAACGACCGCGCCTACATAGTTTTGCATGTTTACAATTCTAATTTTGAACAGCCAATCAGGTTCTTGGTAATTGGCTGTTTAAAATTAGAATTGTAAACATGCAAAACTATGTAGGCGCCGTCGTAGACGTTTGTGGGAGTGGTCGATATACGAATTTTTTATGCGATTCCACAGTTCGGTGACTTTCGTAATATTAATGGCAGGACTAATGGCACTTATTTATGGCAGGACTTAATTTGGGACTTTATTAGTCCTGTTGTCTGTGCTTTCAATTTCTTATTGTAAAACTAATAAAAAAATAATAATGACACAGCACTGACTCCTAGATCGTGTAGGTTTTTTTTCTACTTGATCTCGCATTGAATTTATCAATGGCGAAACCACGATTTAATACTAAATGTTTAGTAACAATGTTTACAATTTGTTTAAATATTTATATCCGAATATTACATCGAATAGCTTCGGTAACGGCGTGATAAATAAGTGATTTCCTGCGCCAGTTGTGAGATTTACGAAAAGATCCTTCTTTTCCTTTATAATAGAATGAAAAGCCTTTTTCTGATGCGCAGTAATCCAGTATTAAAACTTTCAAATTTAAAAATACTACAGACTTGTTGATAATACTTAATAGCCCATGCGTGTGAAGGTCACTGAAGGTCGATCTCCCAATTATCGTGTAGATGATTGTGATTGATTAATTGCCGGGAAGTCAACTGGCTTCTCGTGTCTGCGCAGGAGGCTAGTATGTGGTATGATGCCACAACAATAACCTACGCATTTCGTACTGATAATTCTGATAATTTTTTTAACTGTACATTAAACAACAACGCTAATTATCGACATGATTAATTGATTATGTCTTAGAAAAAGTATCTAATGCCAGTGAAATGGCACAACCCGGGACCCATGTTTTGAAATATAAACTTAGAGCCTTAAACGGACACCGAAATCTCTTTGGCATTATGGCATACTGTACATCTTGAAAAGTTTGACCATCCCCCAATGTTTTGTGATGTGTCCACTAGCTACTTCCCGTCTGCCCAAGCATGTTGGCAAGTTGTTACAGGTTTGCAAATAGTTATTTAATCCGGAAATAGCAGAATCTTGGTATTTTGATATTTTTTCGATCCTGAGGAAAATTTGCCTTAGAAACTGAAGGTCGAAGAACATTTTCAATTTTTACATATACGAAATATTTATAAGTAATAGCATGTGGCATTCAGGTCGATTAAATGTATCCGAGACTCAGCCTAGTCCCAGGCTTTCTCTCTCTGTACGTTCCTTTGATATATTTAAATAAGTTTTATGCCTGGGTGTGCTGTGGCGAGCGCTTCAGCGCGAGAGCCTAGCAGATTTCAGTAAAATGGTCCCTGAAATAAAAAAGTGGTCCCTAGCTGGCCTGGTTACGAAGCACACCGCATTTGTGAATAGAAAATGATATAGAAATTTCCTTTGTGTTTATAATTAATTAAGTCATTAGTTTTGCTCCAATGCTCTCGGTCAAAAACATTGCCTACGCCGTTTCGCTACCATACGGCCAAAATGGAATAACGGGCTGAATGTGACATATATCCATCATTTGAGACATGTTACATACATGCGTTACTGTATGTAATACTATGCTCAAATTTTCCACTGTTTTTATGCACGTTTCAATTCAGTTACGTACAGTTTACCTACGTATAATCTATACGTCAATAAAAATACGGCTTTGTGTCCAGTAACAGACGAGCAAGTTTCCCTTGACAATTTTTCCGATCCTTGCCAAGGAGTCTCCTATTCCAAAGCTACAATCTTGGACAAAACCCTTCAGACCATTCAAGCCAATAATACAAAGTTGTTGAACATTGACAAAACAAATTTTGTCTCCCCCCCCCCCAGTTCAATGTTGCGAACACCACCGAAACAACTTTTGGTAATATACCATGACACAAGCTCGATCAACATTGAGTTGGGGGAACGGGGACTTAGGAAGGGCAACATGATTCAACATGGAGTTTATCAAAAAAATATGTGAATTTTCTATAGGGGGGAAATAGTCTCAACCAGTTATGTCCAAGATTGTAGTCGTGCCAGCTTTTTGTCCCGCGTGACTGCAAGACGTGAATATAGGGCGAAATTCAACAAACCCTGGCAATGAGGTTGGGAAAAATTTGGACTTGCAAGGTGAAATAAAATAACTCGAGAGAATAAATAAAATCAAAAACTTACACTCCCGTAATTTGTCGTCGTAATCTGCCAATAACATGCAGTGATGGTTGCGAATGATGTATGTTGTATTAGTATCACTGCTGGCACAATTTGAAGACATATCAGCCCAGGGCATCATTTTCTCTTTGGCGTACCATCTTAAATGTCTTAATTTTAGCATAATTTTACAGATAGAGCACTAAACATGCTTTTTAAGTTTGTTTGCCGCTAGAGAAACGTATCAAAAATTTAAAAAATTAAACTAGTCATAACCGAGTGGAGAAGTATATTCATTAGTTTTGAGCACGTGTTACGTAACATACAAAACATTCCCCCCTTAATTTCATTGTGCACAAATGAAACTTATACTGAACTACATAATAGTTAACTGATTCAGTTCTATCAATATTCAATACATAATTGTTCGTGCAAATATAGGCCTTTAGTAATACATTATTCGACCTACATAGCTATGGTAATTATATGTGAAAAATGCAATCAACAAGCTTTGCTATCGACGACCATTTGGCCTTGACCAGCAAGTGGATCATAAGGTGGTGGCTCTTGGCTGACTTGGCTGTAGGCCGGGTATGCTTGTGTGGTCATCACCACTGTATTTGGTGGTGGCTGCTGGTTGGAAGCCGAGTGTGCTTGTGCGGTAATCATTATTGTATTTGGTTGTTGACCTGTTGTGACGACAATAGTTGCAGGTTCCTATTAAGAACAAAGATATGCTATTTTTGTGAAGGATCTTATTTCTTCTATTTACACTTTGAAACCACTCTGGTTAAAATTGCGGTAATCGTTCCATGTTTTGCGCACCAATATAGTAAACGTTATGTAATGGATATTATAGTGTACTGTGTACGTGTACTGAAAAGTTAAATTAACTGGATACCTCCATACACATATATACACACCCTAACCTTAAACCTAACCCTAACCTAACTCCTAATACCTAACCCCTAATAGCTAACCCCTAATACCTTACCCCTAATACCTAACCCCTAATACACAGCCAGAAACGCGCAAGTCGGAACAGATCTGCAACAGATCTGTTAAATCCTGTTGTCAACAAGCCGATATCTGGATGCGTTCGCTCGCCTTGTACCTGTCTGTTCTGACAGACCTGCAACGGCCTGTCAACAGGTCTGTTACAAGCTGTTGTGACAGAGCTGCTGCAATGCTGTTTTCAACAGGTCTGTTACAAGCTGTTGTGACAGAGCTGCTGCAATGCTGTTTTCAACAGGTCTGTTACAAGCTGTTGTGACAGAGCTGCAGCAATGCTGTTTTCAACAGGCCTGTCGCAAGTTGTTGACACAGAGCTGCAGCAATGCTGTTTTCAACAACTTGCGACAGACCTGTTGCAAACCGAGGAAAGCGCCTTATGAAGCTTGTGTATCCACTATTTTGAACAAAAAACGGCCAAACAGGTTGCCATATTTCGGTTGTAGTGTTTCGTGAAATAGAAGTTTGAAATATAAAGTTTTATAAACAAACTTGCGAGATAATTTTTATATATATGAATATAAAGTTTTATAAACAAACTTGCGAGATAATTGTTATATATGAATATAAAGTTTTATAAACAAACTTGCGAAATAATTTTTATATATGAATATAAAGTTTTATAAACAAACTTGCGAAATAATTTTTATATATGAGTATAAAGTTTTATAAACAAATTTGCGAGATAATTTTTGAGCAAAACAGCTGAAAAAATACGACAAATTCAAGAAAGGTTCTTATCGTAAACAATTTTTAAAATTAATTGTCTTTAAGTACGACCGAAATATGACAACCTACTTGCATATTTTTCTTCAAAACAGTACATACCATAACATAAAGCTTCAATAAGGCGTCTTCCTCGCTCGCAGATTTCACTTGAAATTGGAAAGAAATTATATAACGAATTTCATATTCATATTAACAGTGAAGAACGTTGCAGTGAACACTCGGTTGCTCATGTATTTTTCATTTCTTAAGCTCTAGATCTTGTATTCTCATTGCCACAGTTTCTTCAAAAATCAAAACAGCTTTGAACTTGTTTGATTTTGTTTGAGGCAGTTGTTGAAATTTTGTTTGGCTCAAAATTCAAAAACAACTAAACAATTAAACATGATTACGTGATTGATATGTTTGTAATATTTCGTCCAATTGCAACTAGGAATGATGACGTGTGCACACGCCTTTATCCAATCAGATTAAAGAAATATAGCGATAGCACACGTCAGCAAATTGGAAATTGGATTTTGGAAATCGGAATTACTTTTTAAAAATAAATAAAACAGCGGCTTTTGCATTTAATCAGAGAATAGATACTATAGATTATAGTCTCCCCTGTGCGATTTAATATTGCTACCAATGACAATGATTGAATGAGAAAGTGAAGCCGGACGTGTCCATTTAGTGCGATTTTTCTCTTTACTCACATTTTCGATTTGTTTCCCAACAACAAGCTTGTTGAAACTTGTTGTCGGACAGCTTGCTGCAGACTTGACAAAAACAACTCGTGACAGGTCTGTTGGAACAAGTTGTAACATGCAGACCTGTTGATTTCAACAGACTTGCTGCAAGTTGTTCTATCAGACCTGTTATCTCTTGTTAGTAACAGGTTTGTAGCGGGTTGTTTCAACAAGTCGCAACGGCTCTGTTGTCAACAGCTTGCGACAGACCTGTTCCCGCAAGCCTGTTATCGCCTGACGAAACCAACAGACCTGTCGCGACTTGTTGACAACTTGCCGCAAGCCGGTAAAATCAACAGCTTGCGACAGGCCTGTGAGATTTCTGGCTGTGTACCCAATACCTAACCCCTAACCCTAACTTATATTGGTGCGCGAAACATGGAACGATAACCAAAATTGCCTGGTTAACCATGAAATAACGCCATTTGGGTTAACTTAATATTTCTTGTTTAAATTCCTGCTTACTTTATCTCATGGGATCTTACTTTTTCTTATGTTGCCCCTATATATAGTTATTTATCCACCTAGCCTAACATAATCTCAGTGGTTAGTTTAACCAGGAAGTTCTGGTCAAATTAACTAGACTGTAGTAGAAAAATATTAAAATAGCCAGGCAAGGCCATCGGTTGGGATCAAACTCATTAATAATTCATGAGTAAATTAGCCAATCATATATTGCTTTATTTTGCTCACATGAAAATACTGGATATGGTGAAGTATATTGATCCAGTCCTAGGACTGGATCAAAATTAATTCAGTCTTTGACTGGGTGAATTAAAATTAATTCACCTCACTTTAAGTAGTGATTTATTTGTATGAGATGTCATTCCAATCCTTCAATTCGGACTGGACTAGATTTCAAGTCCTCGTATTTTGATGAAATTTCGCGGACTTGAAATCCAGTCCTCATAGTCGGATTTGACATATTACTTGAAATAGATATCTATACCAAGCATAATTTACCCGTCGTGCACAGCAAGTTCCAATGCAGCCATAAATTGATCCCACGAAAGTGACGATAGCAAAAAGAGCAAAGAATATCGTGACTGCACCAGTAGCTTCGCGAACAGTTTTCAGCTCGGAGCAACTAACCGCATCTAGAGAGCGACACAATTGAATTTTAACATCGCTTGTAATATTCCACGTGACTGCAAGACCGATAGGGGAAAATTTCAGACTTGTCGAGAGAATAAACAAAATCAACAACTTACATCCCCACGATTCGCCCCCGTATAAACAATAACAGTAGCCGTCGCTTGTGGTGCCGTAACTTGGATCAAAGTCATAAGAATTATCACCATCGATACAATTTGAATCCAGTGTAGCCCAAAACGCGGCTCCAGCAGACATTCCAACAATCGCGAGAATAATTCCCAAGACATGGGTACCAAGTGCAACAGCCAACTATATTAATATAAAAAAAGATACGGTATATGAGCCCAGCAATGTTTAACCTAAACTAACGACTAATTTTATAATGTTATGCACTATTTAAAATATGAGCAGCAGTGTTTTATCAGATATAAAGATATCTTTAGGTCTGATAAAACACGCACTGCGAATGTTTGATAAAACACGCACTGCGAATAAATTGCTTCAAAAACGATCGATTTAGTAAGTTCATTGGCGAAGTAACTTTTCAAAAAATACGTTGTGTTAGTCGAGAAAATCAAAGTTAAAGTTTATGTAAATCAAGGGAATCCCTTTCACATATATAAAGATAGGACAAGCTTATGATTTTTCTTTGTGTTTTCCTCACGAATTATTAATGAGTTTTTGAATTTAAATTATTAAGCCAAATGGCGCTTATCATCTTGTGAATCTGGAATGTATGGTTCTGTATAGGACAGCCAATAGCCATGGCATATGTCTGAAGCTACGGTCGAACGAGGATGAGAGTTTGGCAGTCACACGTGTTACAGGGAACCAGGGCCGTAGCGAGCGGGAGGGGGGTGGGAGGGTGTAAACCCCCCGCCCCTGATGATTTCTCATATGAGCAAATTCAGGTAAATTCAGGTAGATTTGCAGAAGATATTCAGCTAAATCAACGCAAATTCCGGTAATTCCTAGGACCAGAGGAAGTTAATTTGCCAAAATAACCGTCAATTTGGAGAAAAAAATTAGGTATATTTACAAAAATTTTAGAAAATCCACGAAATTTCCATAATTTTAGAAAAATTTCTTTGATAAACGGAGAAAATTTGTGATATCCGGAAAATTTTTTATGTCGCGAAAAATTTGGATATGTCCGGAAAAAATCTTTTACCCCACCCCTAAAATGGTACACTGACCGAAAATTTTTTGGCGACGGAGGGGGAGATCGTTGAGAATAATTTCCGGAAAAAATTTTTCAGGTAAAATTGGATAGTTTCAGGTAGATTTAACCAAACACCCCCCTGAAGCGAGTTCCTCGCGACGGCACTGCAGGGAACATTTCAAGCCCCTTACGAAAATATTCTATAGAATATTACATTGAAATATTCTATGACTATGGAATATTCTATGAAATATTCTAAAGGATTTTGGAACCTATTCTATGGGATAGTCTATGGGATAGTCTATGGGATATTCTATTGGACATTCAGTTGAATTCTATAGAATATTCTATGAAATATTCTAAAAAAATTGGAACCTATTCTATGGCATAGTCTATGCGATATTCTATTGAGTATTGCCTGTAGTGGACATTCAGTTGACTTCTATAGAATATTCTATAGAATGCCCTATATTTTAATCTTCGTTTCATTGTTTCATCTGGGCTCATGTCAAGTCCGTTCTGCGCATCAGTTCTGCTCATAACAAAGGGCCGGGGGACCCACAGATATATACATTGCCCAAATTTTGATCTTTCGAACTTTTTTGAATTGAAACGTACTCTAGTTTATATTCATTTACAATAGCGAACCAGAAAAGTGTTAGATATTCAGTTAGTATGTCTTAGTTTACAAATATAGCAGTTCAAAATGTAAAGAAAGGATTTGTTTACATTAGTCATTGCGGACTTGACATGGTCTTTAACTGATGTGGACTCTGAATGGCTACATCGATAGGTCTTACTGCCAGATAGGTTTTAATGCTCCCCCCCCCCCCTGGTGGAACTAATCCTAGAAATAATCCACCAACTAAAATGCTTAAAGTCTATAAATACCTGTCATTTTCTGTCGCATCCTAAGCTAATAAATCGCTGACTCGCAATGGAAGAAAAATTTCCTCGAGCAGGAAAAAGGGAGAATACAGTCTTTCAGAACATATTCAGACATCTCTCAATCAAAAATTGCTTCTAGTAGCTAGCTGGCCTTGACGTGACTAGTTATATTTAATAATTTAAACTCTGAAATGTCCAACTACAGCTGTCTTTATAATGGAACATGAAATTGAAAGAACATTTAAAATGATATATAAACTTCCTCTACAATTACTTCCTCTACAATTACTACCATCTTGCTTGGTTTTCGAAATAAATCGAGTTTGATCAAAAGCAGCGTGCATTCCGCCATCTTGGATCAAAAGCAGCGTGCATTCCGCCATCTTGGAATTTTTATCCTGCAAACCACATGGTTTAGTACTCAATTAACTCACAACATTCTAAGAAACTTTTCGAAGAAATTTAGTCCCACATGAAGAAGTTTTAACCTAGCTTCCTCCTCAAGCATCTCGTGGTTCACTTACTTTCCAAAGTCGCTACAACTTTTTTTTGCCTGCAAGCAAATTTTACCCGATAATCTAAAGGCGATGCCTGCGGAGGATGCCTTTGTGAGCTTCTTTTATAAGTTTTCATTCATTTTTTTAAACGAAATCCTAAACAAACTCCTCCTGTTTATCTTTGGAAGAAAAATGGCCGAAAGGCTTTTATATTATAAGAAAAATGACGGTTACGCCGTTTTCACGAAGAAAATATCCCCGCTGTCAGTATAACAGTAAGACCGATTGAGTCCCAGTAATATGCCAGAGACTTTTGACCGCTGGAAGGCCCTGGATACGAGGTTGATAATAATATAAGCCGATAGGCCATACGGAATGAAAGCATTCCTTACCAAACTTGACTGCTTTTTGTATCCAGCTAGGACACTAAAGACTCCAGGAATTGCAAACTAAAATTAAACAAAATAAACACGTTAAAATGGCCAATGCCAACTGCTTGAGCAAGTAGACGTTGAAACATGACAATTATACCACAGAACTGTAACTGACCGACGTAAACACTGTCACAGAATAAGAACACATTGTAGAGACATTAACAGAGACGTAACTGACCGTTGTAAACACTGCGGAAGATCACCTTATCATGTCGGCCACTTTTTTTCAGGCGACCGGGCGAAAAATGATCAACTGCGCATGCTCGGCAAGTTTAAAGTGAGTCGTCATCAGGTCGTCATCCAATCAGATGCATGCATCTAGTAACTTGCCGAGCATGCGCACAAAAAAGTGGGTACAGTAGTTACGTCTCTGTATATCTCTACTCTGTGATAAGAAGGTACAGCAGAAGTGTAACTCAAGCAAGTATTTGTCCGCGCTTTTACAAGCGATTCGTCATCAATCACGCCATCCTGGCTAGTACAACCGGCACTTTTTACCTACCAAAACCTGATAAAAACTTCCGGTTGTACTAGCCAGGATGGCGTGAGCGAGTTAAAATTTTCGTGGACGTAAAACAATAAAGGAACCGTCTCAAGTTACACTTCTGCTGTACCTTCTTATTCTGTGACACTGCGGAAGCTTACGTTTTCATGAACACAGTTTTTTCAAGCGACCGGACAAAAAATTATCAACTGCGCGTGCTCGGCAAGTTCTGCGAGCAGTTAAAGCAAGTCGTCATCCAATTTCCTCCAATAGGATTCGTCCATCTAGTAACTTGCCGGCACGCGCACAAAAAAGTGGGTACACTAGTTATAACTCTGTATATTTACGCTTAACCTGCCTTACGGTTTATGCATGCGCGTGTTAGTTTAAATTCAAATTGTAATCTTATCTAGGCCTACCTGAAGATGGAGTAAATCTCCCAAACGTTGTTTGTTGATGTAATAAACACATTTAATTAAATAAAGTCTTACTGTGGTCTATACATTGAACACAAAATATATAATTAAAATAACTTTATGCAACCGCAACTGGTGGCGAGATATATGCGTGATTGCGTGTTGACATTAAGTGTTATGATTTCAGTTTAATTTTGTTGTTTAAACTGACCGGTCCAGCCCGCTAGCTTGTGAGTATGTATAAGGAGACATTTTCTTCCCGGTAAGGGATATCTCGCCTCTAAACCTTAATTATCTGAAGACTCGTAGGAACCAGTAACTTGCTACACTATTAATGTTTAAAGTCAGAAATTCAATAGTTCTTGGCTTTATACCAAATTTACTTCAAAGAACCGATGACGTACGAGAAAGGTGCGACTCCACCAAACCAAACACTAATCTCAAGAAAAAAATCATTTAGTTGTCTTAGGATCTCAAACTATCGATCCGATCTTTCAGAAATAAGTTTTAATTGGAACGAAAGTAATCATAATTTGTTATTGTAATAATTTTTGGTCGTCATTTTATTCCTGATAACGAGTAAACGTAGTCAATAATAGAGAATATTAAAAGTTTATTTCCATTAATTAACTTACTGTTACCTTGTACTACAAGCCCAAAATTTGCCATTTGTACACGCCAATTATATAGGCTGAAATTTTTGAGTTTTGGGCGATTTTCACCGGCGCTAATCAATTACTTACTTAAAAACGCGAACGTTAAAGAGAAAACACTGTGAAATGTTATACTTACATAAACTCCCCATAAACCGATACTAACAGCAATTGGGTTACTCATTTTGCTCATAGCGACAATACCACAAATCATGGAGAGGAATGTGAGTACCAACAGCGAACATCCAATTGTGATCGAGCCCACTCGTATACCGTTTGACATAGCCATTTTTTCGCTGGGCCTTAAAGATTCCCAAAAGATTCTGTTGAACTTTGTTTAATTAATTAGACCACCTGTAGTCCTGTCAATATGTAATCGAT